CGAGCATTTTTTGATGTCTCTATCGAGCCGGGGCAGCCCCGCAGAACTTCATACACGCACGCCCCGCGAGCCGAACTCCGTTCCCGCTGTTCGTGCATTTTCGCACGTCTTCCCTTTACATCCTTCGCTGTCGGGACCCGTCCATCACTTCCCGGCCCCCGCTGATCACTCGCACAACTTTCGGGCGAGCCGAATCTTAGCCGTCGAGTCCCGTCGGTGCATTCGTGAAGCTGTTTCAGCCCCATTTTAATTCTTTCATTTGAACGTCTTCCCAAGAACGGTACTTAGGCTCGAACCCCATCTCGTTTTGATTTAGTGATTTGTGATATTGTGTTAAATTGCTTGCTAAGTTGCTGATCGTGGGAATTAATAGTTAAATTCGTGCCTTCGATGTTTTATTGAGCCATATATTGAGTTTAAATGCGATTTGGATATCAAAGTGATTGCCGTCACTTTAGTTTATTGTCGAACTGAGTTTCGAGAGGTATTTTTCGTGGAAATCCTGGAGTTATAGGTACCTAGAGCTGTCTTTGAGTTATTGGTTTTGGTTTGAGGTCGTTTCGATGGGTATATGTCGAATTATGAATTTTCTAAACCGAGCATGCTGCTGAATCGTAATTAATTCATGATAAATTGTGTGATTATCCGACTGTCATGAAATTGTATATGTGATGTCCTGTGATGATTTTGTAAGTCGTGTAAAATTTGCAAGTCGAAACTCCATCTGTAACTATTTTAATTAATTAAATCAGTTTCTGGTCAGAATTTTGTAAAATTCATTAAAAATCATACACTTGGAGTTTTGAGCTGAAACTTTGGGAAGTATGTTATTTTGCGGTATTCTATGTTGTGTCAACATGTTGAATTAAAAATTCGAAGTGTAGCTATATGAACTATTAACTGCAACTTGGTGAGATTATGTGATTTTGTATGCCTTGTGATGTGGTAAAGTTTCAGGTTGGTTGGTTGAGTCTAACTCCGGATTCTAAATTTTGTTTGTTTTGGAGTCTTAATGCTTGAGTATCCGTTATTAGGGTTCGGATTGGATGTTAATGAGGTTGGCATGATTTATGT